GCGAGCGCGGAGGTAGTTAGCGAGAAAATTGAAGAACCCCGCGTTTGGCGGCCTATGTGCTTGGCGGGAAGTAGGTGTTAATCGTTCCAGTGAGCTTCAAGTCTGCTGAATTAGCAGCGGTATTGTAAAACGCGGTGTGAGTTAGTTATTTTAGAGAGCCTCGTAGTTAGAATCTTGTCTTTAGTTTCTTTTCAGGTTATTATTTTTATTTGACTGCCGAGTTGGCACTGTCTGTAAGCGTCAAGAGAACGCAGTTGTAATTTATTACGTTGAATAAAAAGGGACTTAAGCCCTTCACAAGGCTCTATCTTTTATACAAGTTTTCACAGTCACCTCTTGGTTGCGTGCAAGTTGGAGGCGCGCAACGTTATAGTCTATTGATAAAACAGATGTCCTTCATGGTAATCATTTTTGTGGACCAATCTTCAAGTGCGTTCGTTGCGTGGCCAGTCACAGAACTTAATGCCCCTTAAAAATGGAGCTGATTTCTTTAACAGAAGTGTCCTTTAAATCTGCCAGATTAAACATATTGATAGCAAACAAAATCTGCAGTTTTCAGATTTTAAATTACGTCTAAAGGGTCGATTTTTAACGTTTTGTGTGTTACCGTTATTTATTAAGTATCATGTTTTTTGCACTTAAACCATAAAATTCAGTTCGATAACAATGTGGCAAAATAATTTTAAAATGAGCATATCTTTAAAATTTCCGATACACAGTTCCGCACGCTGGAGATAAAATGGTTTTTTCCCATGTAGAGTGTTGGCATTGCTCACTTTTAAATCATTGAGTTTGTTACTCAAAAATTTGTTAAAGTTTTACGAAATATGAAATCGATTATAAAACGAACTCCAAATTTCAAATTTGGGCTTCCACATCGCAGTAGGATTACGTCATTCAAAATTCGATGGCTCTATGTACCGTTGTTTTATCACAATGGAAGAAATATACAAGTACTTGTACATACTGTTATGCAGAATTTTCATTATTTAATTTCTTCAAATATAATTCAGGACTCTAACATTTGGTGGCAACAGTTTGAAAAGTGAAACGGACATTCATAGTGATTCAACGCAAAATCGCAAAACTAAAAAATTGTCCTTCAGGGCAAAGCCCATTTGGACTAAAACGTGACTTATTTGTAATTCATATATATTCGCAACCATGCCTGTAGCAGTGGAGTTAAATGGTCATGGAAATTAAAACATCAGTTAAACGTTTTGTATCGATAAAGGTCAAAATCTGTCCCTCTCAAACATCTGAAATGTCCGTGTATGCGAAGTTTTGTTCGAATGGATTTCTTCCCCCTGCTAATGCTACAGTGTCAACAATAACGAGTGCTACAGTGTCAATGCTACTGTATTAATAGTTGTAGAATGCTACAGTACCTAGCAATAAGGTAGTTAAGTGAAGTAATTACTTTCTTGTTTGCGGATCTTTGTGCTGTTTAATCTGTTGTGTGTACTGTCCTCTTAGGGTACGATTGAACTGCGAGCATCAATAGCTAAACGTTGACTCTAAATAAAGGAGAGAAAAGCTACATTCAAATAGCAGAGCTATTTCCAGTAGCTTCGAAATAATGCAAGGCCTACCATTTAACAAGTTCGGAACTAGTGTCCCACCCATACACTAACGTGATGAGGCAAAGCAAGCGATAAAAAATGGATTTAGACGTTCGGGTGACCTGCCGATGTCTGACTGCTTGGGCGTTTCGGGCGCATTCGTTGTGAAAGGATTAATTGCTCTTCGAAAAGGTGTTTCTATAATATTCCAAAAGTGGTCAGGCTATATAAGCGTGTGATTAAGTTCTTATATACTTTGATCGAATTAAGCGTCTTCACTAACCTATATATTTTTTTGTTTCGAGTTATTTGAAAGTTAATATCTCACATTTCAGAGATTTAACGTTTATAGTTTTTAACAACAGCTTAGCGCAAGTCGTGACGAATATTTTAGCAAATCCAAGCCATATCATTGAATAAACAAGCTGTTATCCAAATAATTTGTCACAACACAGAACTTTGATCATTTCATTAAAAAAGCTAATGATTTTTTCGAGAGCTGCGGAAGCACTGCTGCCAGTCTGTAGAAACTGTATTGCACCAGATGGCGCTGTGTGCGCTTGAATTCTTCGGACTAGTTCAGAACCTTGATGATTGCGAAAGATTAACACCAACGCGAAACATTAACCAAAGTTTATATGTGCCTCTATTTGTTGTAAATGTATTTAATTGTGTCGTCAATAAAATATAGTGAAAATGATAATAGTCGAGAATGCGTCGGACAGGTAAGTGAGATTTCTTCATATATTGAATTGAATTGGGTTTTAGCGACAAAGAATGTAAATGCGTATTTACACCTGATGCGTACATGTTTCCTTTTGTATGTGGATCGAAAATAAAAACGAAGTATTTTACCTGGACAGGCTCCAAGTATTTTATTCAGTTTCCTGAACATTCTAATGGTGCATTAAACATAAAAGCTTTAGTGCAGATTGTAAAACTATAAAAAATGGTGGTAATCATATAAATCCAATTATATTATATATATATATTGGAGAATCTGACCAAAGAGGTATTTTCTTTGGAAATCGAAAAAAAAGTTTGCATTTTTCTCTTGCTCGTAGATGATTAAATCGCTACACTGAGAAATTTATCTAAAATGTATACCAATTTAAAGGGTTCTTCTGTGTGTATTATAGTTTTATTTTTATTCAAGGATCCATAATTATTAGCTTGCAGAAATAATTTCTGTATTTCTCCTCAAAAAAACTGCTCTTATAATTATTTTATAATCGGCTAGTTTGCAGGCTATTGTAGCGAACTTCCTAGTTTGTCATTTCTGTCAAAGTATTTTTTCGATTGCGTGAATCCATATCCATATAGATTTGCATTTACCTTTTGGCTAATGCATAACTTATTCAAATTTAATTTAAAATTATAATGCTATTTTAAATTATCGAGAAACAAACAAGCAAACAGCTGTTTTCTGTTTTATTAGATATTTAAAAGTGTGATAAAAGTTCAGGAAAAAAGAATTATTCATCTGAAAAGAAAGGTTTCTCATTCCAAAAATAAGAAATAATCTAAATCTAAGAATAGACTAACGCTAATCTTTAAAAAATAAGGCAGAAAAAATTTATTTTAATTATGTACTGTTTTTTGTAACTTTCTAAAGGGAGCGACAAAACAAGATCTTAAAACATTTTTAAAAGCATAAGGAAACCTTTTGCAACAGTTAAAACAGTTTTTATCGCAAATTAAACAATGTATTCATCGGTGTACAATTCATGGATTTTTGTCCAGTAAGTGGACAAAACATTCCTGACGTACTAACTGCTCTAACATAAACTGGAAACTGAAATTTTGCAAAGCATAACATAATTCTGAATGAATACATAAATGATTATTTATATTTACATATTTATATTTAATCATTTACATTCATTCATAAAGTTAGTTAACCTTTACGAATTTTGGAATAATCTATCTATTTGGAATAGTCTACATATAATTTTTTCAAAATATAATGTGTATATTATCCGGGAAAGTAAAGTAAAAGCCAGTGTGACTGTTGTAATAAGTAAAAATATGAAGTAAAAAAATATAGAAAATAAGGTTGGGCAATATTTCTTTAAACCTCGATAAAATATTAAAGATGTTTTTTAATATTAACGAAATACTGTAATTGAAATATCTCATACTTAAATGTCAGTAAATGGAAGACAAGAATAGGTAAATTTTTAACTTTTTTGAGAATTGATTTTTAAAAAAGAATCATATTATTTTTATTTTAATTTTTCTTTACAGAAGCAATTCTGTTCTCTCAAACAGTGGAGAATTACGACACAAATTTTCAGAATTCTTTAATTATTCGAATTTATTTTTTGACAAAATTATTCGTAATGAGTCTATCTCGAACATTAAATTATGAATAATTAAATTGCATTTAATCAGTAACATTATTAAACGTTTTGTATTTGAAACTGAACAAAATATTGGAAAATTCAACTAATTTTACATCTCTTAATCTTAATTTCTACTTTATCTTCCTTGTAGGAATTAAAGGTAGTAACGTAATCGTAATCGCGAAAAATTACGGGTATCATATTTCAACGAAAATGTCTATTTTGACTGCTCTCAAATCTATATAATCAACGTTTTTCCATTACGTCTGTACGCACGGACCGAAGAAAGGATAATTTTCCCCGAAATGAATTGTAAAATGTATTTAAATAGAATTTAGAAGACATTTTTTGGGACGTATGTACGATGTATGTATCACGCATAACTCAAAACCGAGTTGCTCTAGAACATTAAAATTTTTTATATGGGACAGCTATAACATGTGGCTGTGTACCTCCGTTTTGGCTGTACCGGAGCAATCAACGTTATAAATTTATCTAACATTTATAGATATATATAATATATATATACGATAGAAATATGAAAGCAATTTTCTAAATTTAATCACTATAAATTTTATTTTTTATTTCATTTGGGAACTTTATCTCTCTGTCCTAAAAATAGCGCTGTAAATCTAAACTACGTCATTCAAATTAATCGTAACCCTTACTGCGGATGCCTCTTGATGAATCACCAAATTGCAAACTAAAACTGAAAACTGAAACTTTTGACTTCATCCCTCCTTTCAGTGAACTGATGCGTCACTTTTGCTTGTGCTTTTCTCTTGGTCAGACATCAAAATTTTAAATGTGCTTTAATAGGCACGAACAGAGTGCCAAGTGAATTGTGGTCACAAAATGGGAATTTAAATAAATAAAAGCAATTTATTCCGGCTCGACTGCTTCTTTTCAAAACTGGATGGACGCTCTAAGCATCAGGTATCTACGCAATTAGTATTTCTACGCATCTGCGTCTCAGTATTCTATTTTCAGTGCTCCAAAAATGTTCTTCATTATATTCTGGCCAGTGCTAAGTATGAAGAAAATCTATATGGGTTTGTTATTCTATGTTCACGTGAATCATGGGAAAAGTCCGTCATCGGAAATTTAATGCAGTTGTACTGCACTCACGATAAATCATTATGTCGTGCATCCAACCACAGTCCTTCATTACAATATATATATATATATATATACACCCACTCTTTTTTATCCGACTCGGTGAGTTCAGCCTTTTATTCTTATATTTGGTAAATTGTGCATTTTTTGCTTTAAAAGTGATTGAGTTAGATTGTTCTTAAGTTACGGTTAAGATTTTTGTGCCTTTAGTTAAGCTGCATGGAATAGTCTAGAATCATCAACAATTTAAAAATATAAGTGGTGCTATAGTGAATTAAATCAATTTGTTCACCAACATCAGTGTCTATTCGTACGACCAAACGTAAACTTTTTCAATTTTGTACACCGAAAAATCTGTTTTCCTTCCCGCTAGCCATATTGTCTGTTTTTCCTTAAAAATCTTAATTTTAATTGTAAAAATTTTTTCTTAATTGTTTTTAATTGTGTTCGGGGTTTCATGATTTTCTGCATTTTATAATTTTAAAAATTTGAATTATCATGTATTTTTTTATTGCCGCAAATTGAGAACCGAATTTATTGAATGAGAAAAATATCATTATAAAATTCGATGAATAATAAAGTCATGCAGTGTCCACTTCAGAGATTTTTACTTAATATTTTTAGTAATTGAATAGTCCTTAACACTCAGTTTTTCACTTCCCCGGATAGAATAATCATTATGTTTTGAGAAATTAAATTTTATCAATCTCAGTTGCATGAGCGCTTAGTTATTTTTAGTTTATTAATCAATTTTAGAAAAACTTAATTTAACACTACTAAATTTACAGATGCATAATTATAGGCAAAATAAAAAAAAAAAAAAAAAAAAAGTTTTTTTTTTCTTTTTTTAATAACATTATTTTGTAATATATATATTACAAAAAATATGTATGTACCTTTGATCCAATTTTAGGCTATCTGAAGAGTCGATAATAAATCCTTTAAAGTGTTTTAATAGAACATGTGACATAAAACGTTTTAGATTACAAACAATCAGTTGAATAATACAACTGATATTATTTTAAGAGAAAAGCTTAACGACTTAACTGTTTCCCTAATTCTATTAACTTCGTTATTTTCATTTTTAATTCTTACTCTAAGCTCTTTGTATTTCATTGTAGAATATATTAATTACTGTATTATATGATATCCATCAGTATTTAGCAAAGGATGTTAGCAAATTTAAAGTTCATAATTTTACAATTTAATACTCACATTTCAAGATATTTTCGAACGTTTTGTTATTTAAGTACTTACCTTATCTGCTGTAACTGCTGTTTGATTTAATAATATAATTTCACAACCATTTTTATATTCGAAAGCCATTAAATGAATTATACGTTTATCCTCTTGATCTATTACACAAAAGATCTGACCTATCATCTGAAGTACATGCATCCAAATGTTAGCGAGTTTAATAGACTTAAAATTAAAATACCAAACGACACAAAAAGCGTAGCGTTTAATTGAGCCTGAATATAGGAAATAAATATTTAATCGGATTAGGATGTAAGGTATTTTATTTTAAGTATCCAACATTACGATTAAAGCCTTTACTATATCGTTATTTTTTTGTATTCTTTACTAGAATTTAAGTTCTTGGTGTATTTAAGCAGATGGTTTTGAATGTTAAAGGTCACAACTTATCCTTGTTTTGCTGTTATTTACTCCCGTTATAATGCTTAATTTATAATTATAGTTTGGTTAAATTTTATGTTCCAATACTTAAATTTATATTCAAGTTTGAGCATTTTGCTAACCGATGCTTTAAATTACTCGCCGGTAAACTTCTGAGCCAGCTTAAGAAGTCCTATTGTATGCGTAGTCTAAGACTACGTTACCTACGCTTGAATTTAACTGACAGTTATGTTAAATTAAAATCTACTTTGCTGTTAATAATTACTGTTTTTGATAGACTATACTACTGAAATGGCTAAACTATATTATTGAAAATACTGAAATGGCTTTATTTTCAGCTACAAATGTGGTGTCATTATTTTTTATATGCATTTATCTCTTTAGTAGTCTATATTGTTTAATTAACGTAATTTAATATAATTTGAATTTCCACTTGTAAAGGCTATAACATATTATATATATTTTTATCTGCTCTGTTCTTGTAAATTCTGTCTGACGTCAGGAGTAATCAAATGGATAAATGAGCGAAAGCTCGTAATACCCAGTTATGTTAGAAAGATTTTCCACAGGTTTATCTCAGTTTTGCACCAGAACACTGTAGACAATAACATCCAAAGTCTCCCAACTAGCTTTCGCTATCATTAACCTTTATAAAAAGCTTTATTTTCAGAGAAGACTATTATAGGGCGAGTACAATAAGGAACATCATTTAACCATATGGTTGTAGCACGAGAGTAGCATCACGGCGGCCTTTGTAACTGTAGTAGTTTTTTGGAGGAATGGTTTTAGATGGTGCGCTCATTTCCAAAAGCCATTACAGTGAGATAATCAATATTTTAAACATAATTGAAGATCAAGTCATCGATGAGACAACTAGCTTTCTCTAATTATGTTTCTAATTTCACCACCCTACAGAAGCAATTAAAACATCATATGTGTTTATGAGGATTCTTGAATATACAATTTTCATTAATGAATATAGTTGTTAACTCTGTCAAATAAATGGCAGAATCATTTAGCAGATATGCCAAACAGATCTTTCGCTCAATTATTCTGGATCTGCTAGTTTATTGCTTTCACTGACATTTCATATATTCAACTGCCTTCGATATTAAGTTTCAACATAGCCATTTGTGAAGCCAAAATTTCAAATCTAGGGGAAGGTTGCTATCGATGGGCCACTTTTACAAAATGATCCTTTAAATCGTAAAATTTGGCAATTTTACAGAATTTTATATGTTAATGTAAATACTATTTTCCATACTACATACGACTTTATAATTGTGAAATGTTCAGTAAATATTAGAAATAAAATTGGTTCCACTGGCCCAATGAAAAAAACCGTTCACTTTCATTGAGCCGGGGAGTTTCTATAAATGGGCCGGTAGCTATTTTCTTTTTGATATTTCCTTTTCATCTTAATGCATATCAATAAAATGTATAAAACTATTTTAAGCATGATTCTTAAATATAAAATGCTGGTTACAACCCAACACAGATCACTGAAAATACATTGAATTATACTGCTGGCCACCGTAAATGCCAATACCCTGAAGGAAGCATACAAATAACATAAAATTTACAACATGCATTAGCGGAAGTGAGATATGCAAATGATTAGATTTTCAGCGCAGACGCACATCACGCGAGCCTGTGGCGCCATTTCAAAGCGCTATTTATGGCTTGGAGTTTGCGACGATTTCAAGTTAGGCAATTGTGTTTTTCTTGTGTTTTTTTTCAAAAAAACGATCAATTATGCCCCGTAGTAAACAGCGATCATCATTTGATCAAGTATTCGAGTTCGATAGAGGAAGGACAGAGGCTTACCGAGAGTGTGGATTATCTTTCAGGGAAATTGGTAGTCGTGTTGGACGAAACCAAACAACTCTAATGCGGATATGTGACCGTTGGATGCAGGAGGGTACGACGGATTGACGTGTTCGAGCGCATCCACCTCAGTGCACCACTTCACGTGATGGCAGGAATATTGTGCGCATGGCAGTGACGGATCGCTAAGTCCCATCACGAACCGTAGCACAGCACATTCAATTTATAACGCATCATCCAGTGTCTGCGCGTACCATTCGACGCCGTTTACAGGAGAGTAGTCTGTCCGCAAGACCTCCATTGCTTCGTCTACCCTTGACGCAGAACCACAGAAGGATGTGGACGGCAGAATGGAATGAAATTGTCCGTGGAGAGAGGATGCTGAACAGCTGCGTTATGCACCGCCATACTGGTCCTGATCTGATTATTATGGTATGGGGCGGTATTGGATATCACTCTCGCACTCCTCTAATACGCATTGCTGGTACTTTAAGCAGCCAGCGCTACATCTTCGAGGTGTTGAGCAGGTCCTTCCTTACCTCAGGGCTGCCCCAGCCATATTTCAAAGGGAGGCACGACCACACGTGGCACGCATTGTCGAAGGGCTCTTCTCATCGTCAGATTGATGCTTCCTGGCCTGTCCCTTTCGCCGGTTGCTGTGGTCTGGTTGCTGAAACAATGAGCCATTTGAACAAGGTGCACACCAGTCAACCAGGCAACGGTGGAAGCTGGTGGTCTGCTTACCCCAAGAACACATCCAAAGTCTCTTTGAATGACTTCTCGAGCGTGTGACAGCGGTGATCTCTGGCTACTGATTCTGGTAGGAACCACACTTCACAGAAGTCTACAAATTAATCATTTGATATTGGTCAAACATATTATCTACTAAATAAATTTTGTTGTGATAGCTCTTGTCTTTCTTGGTGTTGCAATTTGGATGGCCAGCAGTGTATATTGATAGCTTCGAATTATTCGCAAGGAATCAGGAGTTGGGTTTTAGTTTAGGCTTTATCATGAGAAAATAGGTCTAATGGGAAAATCTACAAAATAATATTGAATTTCGTTTATTAGAAACCATTTAATGAAAATAAGAATTTGAGCTTAATTTACAGTTAGGCTGGCAGAAAAAGAACAGTAACCATAATTTGAGAATTTTCAAATAGCATAAAATAATTATTAAGCCTACTATTAATATTAGGCTATAAATCGTAAACAAATTGCTGCATCAATTATTCGTTTTTGTTGACTTCAGTTGCACTTACGCAGTAATATATTTTGATCCCCTTTCTGATGCCAGCACACTTCTCATGAACCCACACTATACACGACAGACATTGAATCATGTCTTCCTTAGAGTTATCACAGAAGATAGCACAGAAACATGAATCCCTCGCTAGAATTGACAGGCCAACTTACTGAAGACGATGAAAGTTTACCTGGCCAGAAAATTGGAGTCGTCTTTTCACAGCGATGCCTCTTCTTCTTGTTTTTTTAAGCCTCTTTCAATATCTGCGTGTATGGGCTACTTGTTATCATTATTGATTTTCGAGCTTTATTTGAGCCTTTTCCAACTGAGAATTTAGATGGAATCAGAGATATTTTAGAAAAAAAAAACATTTAACAACAGTCTTGATGCA